ATAGGTCCAGACCTATTTCCGGCCCAATCTGGGGGGTCCCCCACCCCCCCACCCCGATAAAGGGGGGGTATGAAGGACGTCTCAGAGAAGAGTTGGGTGGTTCGGGCAGCGCTTTTTGAAGGACAGCGCCGCAAAGTGGAGACGCTGTCGCAGCTTGCTGTGCGCAGAGACCAGGAGTTCGCGGGCGCCGACCGGTGCTTGACCATCCCCTATATACAAGCAGGAGCTGAAGGCGTTCATACTGGAGGAGACGGCGGGGTTTTCGAAGCAAGGCATGCAGAACCTTCGAACCCTCACCAGCGCCTCGACCGACTTTGACAGGGTGGTCGGGGCGCTGAAGACGCTCGATGTGGAAGAGGAGCCGCTCACCAAGGGCAAGGGCAGCTTCCTTGCCGGGGTGGCGCAAGGGTCCGAGCGACTCGGAGGTGCACATGGAAGGCTTCCCGGCAGGCGAGGCTGTGCGCAACACCTTCGTGGGCTGGGCTGGGGAGGGCGGGGTTGAGAAGGGCGGTGAGAGAGGCCCGAACAGGTTCGCGACAACGAGCTCGAGCACACAATCCTCCGCGGCAAGGGCACCCCAGCTCACAACGACGAAGGAGATTCGCGACCAGGAGTCCGATTACACGATTCCCCGTGAGAACGGCTTCCTGGAGCACGGTGTGGGCAACGTCGCGACTAGGAGCTCGATTACACGATTCCCTGCAACGGCGGCTTGCGGATGGCTGTGTTGATGGCTCTGGCGCTGGATGTCTTATTCACAGTGGCACCCGGCCACGCGATCTTGGACTGCCGCGCAGGACGGCAGGACTTGATCGGCGAACCGGCGTTCAAGAAGCTAAGCGGGCGTCTCAAGGAACAAGGGCTTCGGTGTCTTCGTTTGGCAACAGAGCCGCCGTCGCGGCAAGGCAACACTTTCAAGCTCTGGTGCCGTGTGTGCTTGCCAGTGTGGCGAGTCGCAGGGACATGGCCAGCCGGAACAGGGGAGTGCTGCATTAGGGTCGTTGAGTGCGCCTCCGGTGTCATGTCACCATGTCGTGCCGAAGATGCCCGAGACCCCAGTGAAGAACACCCACCCGAGCATGTGATCAACCGATGTGCACTGAAGCCTTTTGCTCGAGGTGGTTGTGCAGCCCCGAGCACAAGTGGAAACAGCTTGTGACGCGCCTGTTGAGTCAACCAGGTCTCCTTCACGAGCACCCACATCTGGCTGCATTTTGTATAGGTGTTTAGACAGCGGCGCGATCAAGCACCGAGTGCTCAGGGAGTTGTCGGAGGGCCAGACCATCATCAGTAGCCGAAGTGACCTAGAGCTGCTGCTTGTACCACATGTAATAACCTGCTGGGCGAATTCTTCGGAGCCGAATGGTGCGACGCAAACAGCCGATGCCGCGGGGGGTAGCTTCAAGTGCAAGTCACGGTGGTGCGTCTTGGTTTTTGACGACCCAGACTCCGAAAACTTGCGCACCTTTGCCCCCACGCCGCAAGCGGAGATCATCAACCTGTTCTTCCAGACAACCTTGAACTTGAGACTCAACGCGGTGTTTGGAGACGTGACCTCGGCCTTCTGTCAAGAAGTTGCAGCGAACAGCGGGGCGACTGTTCGCCGAGCCGTGCCCTGGCATCGACGCGGAGCCTTGCGACCTAGCTGAGTTGCTTGTTTGAAACAGGACCTATAAAGCAAGCCCCAGCCGAGTGCGCTCACGCGATGATCCTGCTTGAATCGACGACTTTAACAGCGCGGCCCAGCCCAGCTACGAGGATGAGATCTTGAAGAAGCTTCGTACCCGCTTTGTATTCGGGAAGCGGCTGAGAGGCGAGGCCGACTTTAATGGGAGCCGGGTCCGAATCACGGACACATGATGTGTTCATGCATCGAGAGAAATATGTACTCGAGAAGTGAAGGCCATCGAGCTCTCAGAGAGCCGCCGCGCGCAGAAGGAAAGCCCGCTCCTTGAAGCCGAGATGGAGGCCTTTCGCTCCATGCTGTACCGGGTCAGCTGGCTTTCGCACCAGACCCGTCCAGAGGCTGCTGGGATGACAAGCATTTTGAGCAGTCGGATGCAGCCGACTTCCACGGGCTACCGTCGCCATCCGTTGCCGACATGATCGTCACCCTGAACAAGATGATTGGGCATCTGCCCTCTACGCCGAAACAAGGAATCAGGCTGCATCGCTTCCACCCTGAGAAGATGTGCTTCATCGGCATGAGCGATGCAGGTGGAGTGGATGGCAAGTCCGTGGGAGACGGAGCCGACGGCATGATCGAGGATCCGTTCAGGGGCCGTGGTTGGTCATGGCCAGCGATCGGGCGCCGTCGCATGATGAGCATCTTCGGGTGTCCATGCTGTCGCGGAGATCAACCAAGTTGAAACGGCGAGTCACTTCCACTCTTGCGTCAGAGACCCTTGCGTTTTCTCAGTGCCTTGGCGAAGTGGAATGGGTCCAGGTGCTGTACCGCGACATGGTCTTCGGCGATGTCCAGCCTTCATGTGCCTGTTGAGGAGCGAAGGTGCCCTGGCGGGCAGACAGACCCAGTGCGGCATCACTGACGCGAAGTCCCTCTACGATGCACTGATCAAGTGCCATCCGGCCAGCCGACAAGACAGGCGCAATTTGCGCAATGCCCTGGAGCTTGCATCCTTCATCAATACGATGAGTCGAGGTGGAGGCCTGGTGCGCTGGACCTCTCAGCAGAGGAAGGCCGCAGACATGTTCGCGAAGGCACACATCACCCAAGAGAACAGCGCTCTGCTGCACTTTTTATAAAGTGGCACCCTACACATAGATGACGAAAAGAATGAGCTGGAGCGGCGTGAAGAGCACGCTGGACGCTCTGGGACCCGAGCTGCCACTCACCGCCTGCTCAGTCAAGAGGAAGCAGACGAGAACCTTGAGATGTTCATTCACGCTTCATTCACGCTTTTTGCGTGGCCCGCAAGGTCAGCAAAGATTCTTCATACCATTTGAGTGCTGAATGTGGATCCGGCTGGCCTTGCTCCTGACTCAAGAGAAGCAAGAGAAATTCCCCTGTACTTAATGACTTAGTGCTGCGAGCGGAAACTGCTGACTCCAGTTCGTCCACCTGCTGTTTGGGTAACAATCGCCAAGCCTTGCTGCAGAAACTCAGAAGCCAATGTGGCTTTGCCATGTCTCAGGATGCTTGGAATCACGATGGTTCTCTAACTCGCAGCTGGGAGAATCGAACGCTTCCAACAGATCAAACGCAAGCAGGCTGGTTCTGGATCCGACAGTTCAAGCTGCTCCTGTGAAGATACCGGATATGGTTCGGTTGCAGGTCCATTCGGAGTTTGCGTGGAGTACATGGTGGAATTGGCCAACAGACTTGGCGCGCGCCCATGGTTCTCGATGCCAAAGGTCGGGGAATTCGTTCGGACGCACATGCATGCCTGTCATCGCCAGAGCGGTGTCACAGCGTCTTGAAGCTCCGTTGGAGTGCAATTGCAGTTGCTACGTCCTGTCCATGCCGCACCGTCTCAATTTTTGTTCCCTGTTCGACTAGCGTGACCCTCGTTCAAGCTGTCATCAAGTGAGCGTATGCACACCGTCGGTGACATGGGGAGGCTGTGGAGACTGAGCCTGATAGCATCGATTCATATGCCCGAGAGTTTGCCTCCTGGCACAGAATAGTAAGATGTGAAGCGGCAGTTTAATGGACTTTCGCGAGCATTTTGAACTAAGGCGCTGCTGGTAAATCGGAGCTTGAATGACCAGCTGAAGGTCTATGTGGAGTACAGATCTTGTTGCCTCAATGGCTTAGCGCCGGGGTGGAACTCACAGGCCCTGCGCACCATGATTTCGCATCACAGTGTCCGGTGACCTGTTGCCAGTTGAAGTCTTCATGGTGACTGTTGACAATGCTGTAGCTGTCGTTCTCGATCTGAAAGTTGTCTTTGTCCTTGCCTGCGGTAGCGTCTTCACTACTTCCGCTGCGAAGCCTTTGCAGCTACCGCTACTCTGTCTCTGACGACGACGGTGTCCCTCGACGATTCCTATGACCTTAATGTTTGTTAATTGCTTGTACATTACCTTCTACTCCGCCGACGATGGTGGCAAGCTAGAAGACTTTGCGATGGATACTGAAGTGGAGGCTTTTCGGAAGTTGGAAAGGGAAATCAGGCTTGTAAGGGCCTATACCTCTCCCGATTAATTATGATGTGTCTCGAATCGTTTGTTTGTTTCTGGCCGGAGCTGTCTGGCGAACCAACCCAATCCTCAACATATGGTACCATAGATGCAGTATGTCTCTCCTTCCCCGTGCCTGCTTCTGGTTCACATTCCGTCTGATCTTGCAAGACGTCCGGTTCTCGATGTGCATGAAGTCATTGCATGTCATTGCGCGTGAGACTGTTTGGATTAGCTTGGGCGGCTAGATCGACCGCACACCTCAAAATAGGTGCGAAAAGATCAGCGAGCTTGGTGTTGTCTGTTCCTGTGCCCGGCTGTGCCCTCTAGGCGCCCATCAGTTCCGCCCAACTTCGCAGGAAAACGCGGTACAATCGCTGACTCTATGGAAAAGCTGGGAGCAGGCAGGCTTTGACCCAGAGCGAGTCATCAACGACTTTCGGCTGAGACTGGCAGAAGTCCAGGCTCCAAGTTCTGCCATCAGAAGATGTTTTGTCCAAGGTCATCTCTTCGCTTCAGCAGCTGGACAAGTTTGGTACCGATGTGACATCGGTTGAAGCTGCTGCAATTGAAGCTTCGCCTCTCTGTTGGCAATATTGGAGTGCAGGAGAAAGATGCGGTGTTGAGAGCAGAGCGTCGGGCATGGCCCCGTTTCCTGAGCGATCACTTAAGAAGGTGTCGATTCCAATGGCTCTGCCGTCAACATGTTCGATATGCCAAACTGCCGCCGCCCAGGTTTTCAGACATCTGCAAGTACGGGGAGACACCCTGTACTGACTTCAACTCAATGGAGGTCTGCGTACTGACGCTATCTGACGCTGAAGACATGTGTAAGGAGCGTGTTGCTTCGTCTCGCAATGTCGGCACACTCGTCTCGGCTTTGAGGCCAGCGGCGCTTATGGCGCCCTGACCCCTGCTGAACTTATCGATGCTGTTATTCGGCCCGCAATGCTCAAGGAGGAAGCTGCCGCTTGGATCCGATGTCATCACCTGTGTGATGACTTGTGATGACTTGGGCAGCGTTGATTGCTGTCCACAGCCGGCCAGCCTCTGTGACGCCATGTCAGCCTTTGTCGCCTCCCGATCTTCAACAGTACGGGGGTGGTCGCCCCGGCCTGACGAACTCACCACATCTGAACTCGACATTGTTGAAGTTTTCAGGTGTAATCAAATTACTCACAATGTTCAGGATGTCTGTGGTTATGCAGGGTTGGCATGTCGTACAGCAGCCGAAAGCCTGTAACAAGACACGAGGAGGGGCAGCAATTCCGAAGTAATCTGGTCCAAGGAGATCAACCGTCGAGTTCAACAAGCTCTACATTATGGCTTCGAGACCCTTCCTTGCACTTAGATGGTGCCACCAACAAGATTGCCACATTGCAGCCCGTCAGTAACACCGATCCCCTTGGCAGGAAAAGAAGATCATGTGCTGGTCGCCGTGGAAAAAAATCATGTACAGCAAATAAGCCACATGACCAAGGACCAGCAAACACATGCGTCAAGCGTCAAACGCATAAAAGCATCGAGTAAGAAGTAAAAGCACTTGCAGCACTCTGTCGGAGAACCAAGATCTCGTTCTCAAAACAGGTGCTCGGATTCTGGCACCAGTGTGGTTAAGGAATTGGTGGCTGCAGATAGTTCGAGAGGGTGTGACACGGTGTGCTTAGATCACTGCATCTGTTCCGGAACAGATACGAGGGTTTGGGGCTTGGGGATTAGGCTTTAGAGTTCTCTGTTCTGGCCCTCAACAACCTGGTGCGCGCCAGGATCATTGCATTCAATGCGCTACCCTTGATATCAGCGCCAGCCCAAGTCATTTGCAAGCAGTGTGCAGCCTCATACCAATCAAAAGTAGAGCTGTCCCTAGGCCCGTGGCTATGGGCACCGCGGAAATCTCAACTGGGCCCTGAGATGCGAGAGCTGCTTGATGAAAACGCTGGGACGGCGCTATGGCCGCGGGTGCGCGCTGCGGGACTAGGGAGACCAGGGAATTTGGAGTCCGCGGGTAGCAACCACATCGGGGCGGGATGGTGCTGCATGCGGAGAGAGCTTCGCAACAGCCTGCAGGGAGCAAGCGCAGCTGGCAGACGCTGGCTGGGTGTTTGAGGCCGACGCCGCAGCCAATGTCAAAGTATACGGCTTGTGAAAGCTCGTTCAGGCGGACTTTGTGGCTTACAAAGGCTACCAGGGACTTCTGGAGGAGGACAGGGCCCACGACAGCAATGGCAAGCTTGGCAGCAAATAGCTGGAAAGGGACAACACTATGAATTCCAGGCTGACCGCCCGCAACGCTGAGGCGCATATTGGCTGCATGGTGCACCCGAGCAGGCAAAAGCACACTGCTTGAACATGTGCCTCGACCAATGGAACGTTCTAGAGCAAAGACAGAGTATATAACTGCTGTTTCATACCTTCTTCAACTTCGGGATGTGTCAAAGCACCCTTGTGCCTTCGTCTTCGAATTTCGCACAAAAGATCTTCTTGAACAGGGAAAAGGCCGCTGCTGGGGGCAGCTTGGTTCACAGTTCGCCCCATGTAGGCCTTGATTTGCATGACTATTTTGAAGCTGCATACTCCATGAACCATCTACACTCCTCACAGAAGGAACATTACGACTACTGCAGCAGTGTAGACCTTTACATGTGTGTGCAGATCTACCCGCAGCTAATCTCTTCTTTTGCTTCAGTGGTATGCCAGAAGTGTCAAGCACACCAATTTCAGACGAGGAACCTTCACTACATCCTTCATCACATAAGAACTGTGTTGGGGTTACTGGCCTTCAGACTGGGCAGCACGCGAATCATGCGAATCGACTGAGTCCGCAGACTGTGTTCCCCCGAACGGTGTCGTCTTGCGATGGACGGACGAAGGTTCCGTCTTACACGTACTGTTTTTTTTCTCGATTCCAGGTCCAACTCTGGCATTTGTGATGGTTTCATCTACATTAGAAGCGGCGAATGGAGCTGTGGAGCCGCTTTGGCATAATATGGTTAATCATAGGATCAATGGGTGAGAATGTTCCTTTTCGCGAAGAACCCTCCTCGGTATGCAGGCCCCAGAGAGTGGCAAGACAGCTCTTCGTTTTTCTATCACACTCCCTGCTGACCGAATAATCCAGTGCTTGCAAGCTTGCACTTCGCATTTGAACGTCGCTACTCTCTGAGGTCGGGAATGACTATCGCTACGGCGATTGCTCAACTCCAGGCACTGCTTATTTCTTCAAGCGGAATCGGCTTGGGGAAGGTTCTCGTGTGCCTCCGACAGAATGCTCTGCATTTACTGCTCATGACGATCCATACGACCGCTGTGGCTCCCCACGAATTGACAGCTACTTCAAAGTGGATGCCCAGATTCCAGGCCGGGCTCCTGAAATGAAGGCATGCAGCAGTGTGCCAGCCAGCACGTACTGGTTCAGGTGGGTTTGCCGATGCTGCTGCCGCAGATCTTGGAGCCCGTGATGAGTGCCAGACTTCGCGACGACCTCAGTTGTTCAGCTATGTTCAGCTGACTTTGTAAGTAGTTCTTACACTTGCCGATGTCCACTGGTCTATGGGTTGCTAGAGTAGAGTGGCCATTAACGAGGCTTAGTAGGCGCAGCCAGCTATGCACGCGAGAACGCCTGGCTATTCAAGCCATGAGTCAGCACAGCTGTTCGAAGTTCAAGGTGCGATCATGCCTATGAGTCCGAGCACTGGGACCCGCCTGCTGCAGGCACGGTTGAAGCTTGCCCGTGGCGTTTTGCAACCCACCCACGCTTACAGGCCTCACCTTAGATGAGCTTCGGGCATTACTGCCTGGCATCATCGCAGCCGCCGCTGCTGAGCAGAGCCTGGAGAACAACATGACCGTTTCTACTCGTCTCTCTCGTCTCTCTCGATTCTCTCGTCTCTCTGTGCTTGGCGCTCCAAAGTTGTCAGAGTCCAGCTCTCACAGACAGGATCGCTGCTTTCCGAGAGCCGGCAATGGAAGATTTGATGCTCGAGTACCTAGAGCGCTTACGTCAGATGGGCTTCTCCACGGTCGTCGGTGCCAGAGCTAAACTTCAAGCGACTGTGCAAGCACAAGATGTGGATGATGTGGATTGGAGATGTGTGCAGGGGGCCAGATGGTGCGAGAAGCCAGGAGCTGTTGGTCAGGATCCGCTGTGTTAGCATGCAGCATGTAGTGGAGAGAGCTCATGCCCGCGGGAAGTGGTTTGCAGGTTTGACGCATCTGACTGTGACTCACAGGAGGAAAAGCTTGCGGACAAGCATCCGTCATGCTTCACTGGGACGATGACAGCCCCATTCGACGCGCTTTCTCGGGCTACGTGCAGGGACGGAGAGCGGCTCTACCCATTCCTGCGGATGCACCCACGCCATGTCCGCAGAAGTGCATCCATGGCATCTGCGAGCAGGGCAGTTGCAAGTGTTGGAAAGGAGTCGTGGGCTCTGTTGGTGGTGACTGCTGCTTTGCCTGTGGTGCTTGCAGTGCGCACTGCAAGCCTGAGAGTGGCTCTATGAGCGTTACTCAGGCGAGTGGTGCCGACTGTTCTCGGCTCGCACCCCTAGCATGCCATCGTGGTCGCAAGCTGGGCTTATCACTTTCAGGCGTGAGCTATTGGACGAGGCTGGCCAAACACCTAATAACATGCCAATATGAACTGCAGCCTTTCGATGTCGACATGTAGTACAATGCACCTAATGAGGGAATGGCAGTTTGTCGACGTCTTCAAAAATGCGCTCCAGCTGGATTGGATGTTCGGATTTGCGCGAGCTTCCACGGTGCTACAGGTCTGCGAGTTAACGCAGCAAAGGTGGGCCAATGGCAGGCGCAGGAGTTCACGTCCTACACCTGGAATACAGGCCTGTTCAGACGCGAACACGCGACCTGCAGCAGATTCATTACGCGTTCGTGTCTGTAGAAGGCAGCAATTTATCTTTCCGGGCTGATGGATATCCTGCACGGCTCCTTATCAACCAGGTCGCGCAACTGTTGACAGCTCCTTGAACTGCAATTGCTATGCCGTGCGAGACATCATGCCCATATGGCGACGTGTGAAAGACATGCTCGCAGCGGCCGTAGCTAGTTTTTGACATCATGTAATCTGTGTGTGAGGTGCGCGATGTCGAGAAGCACTACACGGATGGCTGGTATACTGTCCTTTACGACGGTGAGGGCATCCTAGAGTTTAACATGGACGTGACATCAGTCCATCGTGTATCCCGAAATCGGATTCGAATCTATGTGAATTTGACGACCTCTATGAACAATGGCATTGGCATACGAGTGTCAGATACACGTGAAGATGACCCCGTCAGGCACAGCTTCCGAAAAACGTCCAAAATGACACAGTTTTGCGACTCAGTGTCAAGTCGGGAAATGGAGTGTGCACCGATGGAAGGAACATTCGAGTCATCACGCCTGGCTTCGAAGAGATATACGACACCTCTCCATTCCACCCTGCCTTCCTTGCCAGCCTGGAAGGCTTCTCCGTTCTGAGGTTCATGGACTGGATGCATGCCAACAGCGACAAGACACCTTTTGAATGGGACACTCGTCGACAAACGCCAAGAGCCAGCCTAATTGTAGTACTGTAGGATCCTATAGTGAGCTTCACTTCCATTCCGTTTGCGAGATGGCTGCTCTCTGTAAGGTCGAGCGTGTGACACCAAACTACTACACGCAGGGCTCCGATCCGGGGGTAAGCTTGGAGTACATGGTGCGCCTGTCGAACGAAGTCGGGGCGGAACCCTGGTTTTCGCTACCTGTTAATGCAACCGACAACTACATCGAGCACTTCATGTCCTTCATCTCTGAAACTTGGACCGCAAGAAAGGGGTCGAGCGCATCGATTATGATCATCTGATCGTTAGCAAAGAGCAGCGAGGAGCACCTCCGGCCGGATCTGGGTGTCTATATCGAGCTCGGCAACGAAGCCTGGCACCCCGGTTTTTTTGGAGGGCAATGGGCACAGCAGCAAGGAGCTGCGGAAGGACTGTCCCGACTCTGTTGGTATGCGAAGCGATCGGGCGAGATGGCCAGAATTGCCAAAGCGGTGATAAATGGCACAGGGCGGGAACTGACGGTTGTTGCAGGGAGCCAGTCTTCAAACTATGACGCAACGGCTCAGCTCCTGCAGTGCGAAGGCATCAACGAGACAGATGCCATCGGCCTGGGTCCGTATTTCAATGGGTACAACATTCTCCCAGATCCAGATGCTGATCTAGATCTAGTGTTGGAGACCTACGAGAATGAAGTCAGCACTTCATTGGAGCGAGTGCGCGAGCACAAGGCGGTACTGCGAGGAACCCACTTCAAGCTGTTGGCCTACGAGGCGGGTCCAGCCGGGGAAGGCGATGGCAGTGCCGACGACCTGGCGATTCAGGCACACCGAAACTCGAAGATGAAGGATATCCTAGCCAAATACCTGCAGGCACTCGACCAAGAGTTTGACTTGATGGTTTACTTTGCGAGCTGCGGCAGGCCATCCAGGTATGGCTCCTGGGGGATGATCGAAGCAATGGATCAGCCAAGAGAAGCTGCTGTGAAGTATCAAGCCGTGCAGAACTTCCTGGCGAATCGAACGCAGCCGCTCCCTTCGTCGTGCCAGTACGAGGAGCCGGACTGTGCAGGTGCTGATGGCTGCTCAGGCCCGAGAAAGTTCATGAGTCGCATGAGCCACATACTTGCGCACGTGCACTTGTCAAACTGCCCAAGTGGAAACTGTATCAGTGCTCCAGGCAAAGGCCTTTGTGGGGCAGACGATGTGTGCTACTGCTACCGTGGTTACTCTGGCACCAGCTGTTTGGATGCTTCTTTTACGGACTACTCATCTTGCGGCTACCGCTGCACATTCGATCAAGGGCTCTGTGAAGTGTCCGTCGCTTGCCTCAGCCTGTTGTACTTTGCCGGGTCAGGGAAGTCGACTCCTCGCACTCGCTAGAGTCCCTACGACATCCTACGAAGTGACTAGGAGAGTATAGGAAAATCAAAGGTAGAATTTCTGCACGTTCCTTATCTTGTCAGCGAGCGGCGAGTGCCCTAGGAAATCATCGGCAATGCTAGAAGCTGGCACTGCAACTGCCGTGAAGAGTACAGTGGCGGCAAGTGTTCCAGATTCCAGTGCTCCAACGGCTGCAATCAGAGAGGCCACTGCATTGCCAGCGGTGTTTGCAGCTGCACCTCGGCAAAGATCGGCAAAGGAAGCTTCCTTCGTGTCCGTTAAGTGCAGACCGCGGCGCCGTAGCAGCTGCACGAGCAGAGGTTTTCGTGGATTTCGCGGCAGTGAGTGTGAAATCGACTGCGGATGCGGGCATCACGGTCAGTGCGATGCCAACAATGATGCCCATCCCTATTTGTGCCGACTCTTTCTAGTTATTGTGGGCTCTTGTTGCCTCAGCGTCGGACGGTCTGGATCATAGGTATAAACAGGTGATGTGCCCTCCCATGATTTACGACTTGCTGTGAACACGAAGCTAAGGAGTGCATCTGTGACCAGGGGTGGCGAAAGTCCACTACGGCTGGCTGCGAGTGGGATTGTGCTACCGCTGACACACTCGGCTGCAGTGGCCCAGGCTGGCAGTGGTAGTTGCTTGCTATGGGGTGGTTCTGTGCCGATTCTCTGCTGTACTGTGCAAGGCCAGAGCGCTTGTGCGTCGTGCAGTTATGGGACCTGTGTCGATGGAACCTGTCGTTGCTGGGCCGGCGCTCATGGCCCTTCTTGCGCCGATCTCGACAGCTCTCTTCTCGCTCACGGAGGGGCGGCGTTTGGCATCAACGTCGTCAGGGCCTTAGTGATTACTGTACATCCGTCCACCGGAGCTGGTTCCAACAGTGCAAAAGGTCTGCAAACGTGAGTTGTAAGACGTGGTCAGAAGTAGAGCAGGGCTTGCCGCACTTCTCGAGTGTCGGCTGACAGCCAGGCCGGAAGTTGAAACTCCAGCTCCGTTTTGAAGCCGAAGCTCCTGGAGTTTAGTTTCATTCCATCAGCAGCGATTATTTAAGGGCTGCCGCCAGTGCGGGCTGCCGCCATTGCCGCCGATCCCGCTGCGCGTCGCGCAAGTTGGTTGTTTCTAGCAGCGGGGCACGCATTGACAGCCTTTAAATACTCTCTAAACACCTACAAAAGGGTCTAAGAATGCTGGGAGCGGTGTGCGTGGTGTGGGCGGTGAGGGCGCGGGGGTGTCCGGGCCCGCATTGGCAGCCTTTAAATACTCTCTAAACACCTACAAAAAGGGCTAAGAATGCTGGGAGCGGTGTGCGTGCTGGGGGCGGTGGGGGTGGTGTGGGCGGTGAGGGCGCGAGGGGGTCCGGGCACGCATTGGCAGCCTTTGAATACTCTCTAAACCTACAAAAGGTGGGGTGGGGGGGGGGGTTGTGGGGACGCATTGGCAGCTTAAATATTCTCTAAACACCTAGGAACTGCTAGCCAGGTATGGGTAGTGCGGGCACGCATTGGCAGTCTTTAAATACTCCAAACACCTAGGAAAGGCAAGCCAGCCGTGGGTAGTGGCCAGGGTGTGGGTAGTGGCGAGGAAGCGCGGGCCAGGTGTGCGTAGTGGCAAGAGCGGTGACACAGGGGGAGTGGGGGGTGGGGGAGGGTGTGGGGACGCATTAGCAGCTTTTTAATTTCTCTAAACAGCTAGGAACTGCTAGCCAGGTATGGGTGGTGGCGACGGCGGTGAACGGCGGGGGCGGCGGGGGCGGTGGGGGCGGTGAGGGTGGTGAGGGCGCGGAGGGGTGTTGGCACGCATTGGGAGCTTATAAGAAATGCGAGCCAGGTGTGTGGCGAGGGTGGCGACGGCGTGGGGCGGTGGAGTGGTGAGGGCGCGAGGGAGTGTGGGTCTACTTTCTAAACACCTAGGAGATGCGAGCCAGGAGTGGATGTTGGCGAAACGGTGAAGCTTTGCGGGCGGCGCGGTAACATGCAAGCCAGGCGTGGATACTGGCGAGACGGTGCAGCTTTGCGGGCGGCGCGGTGGGGGCGGTGGGGGTGGTAGAAATATAGCCAAGCCAAAACTACCCAAGAGACGAAAAAACCTCTCGGGATATCACTGGCGCCGCCCACCACGGGGGTCGGCGGATAAGCTGGGTATTCGGCTCTAGACTCTAGATTGTGCGAGGTGGTGAGGGGAGTCAGCAGTTTTTTGCCAAAGCAAACAAAGAAGCTCGTTGGCGTTACGCTCAGGATCGAGCTGTGGCTCAGGCATTGCTGGCCGTGTAAGCCTTGCTTTTGAGATGACTAGACAGGCGATAAAGAAGATCTGCGACCCGAAGACTGGATTGCTAAACGATTCTGCATGTACCACGGGGCGAAAGACCTCCAGCTGACCCGACGTGAGCCGGCCAGTCGAACTGACTTGCCGAATGACACTAGTTCTCCTAAATAGCACGGTCCATGCCAATCGCGGCGCTGAGGCCACAACGCCTTCCACCTTCGTAGACGTCATGAAGACTTCTCGCGGATGGACCAGCATTTGGGACAGGGATACGCAGCCAGGGCAATTCTCGTATCAGGGTGGAAGCCTCATGTGGACGAGCCGACAGTACGAGTGGGGCAATGGCTTGAAGATCAGCCAAAACTCAGAGGGCTACGTGACATCGCTCTTAGAGGATCACGGGTTGATTTGCACATTTGCCCATTGGACCTTCGATCTTTCGTAAGTCGCTTGGTCATCATTTGCCTGCAGGACCAAGCGGTCATCACTCTAGCCTTGCGCGATGTTTGCCTACATGCTCCTAAAGGGCGATACGTTATCACTTACGATGGAGATGGTGAGCTGGATCTTGGCATGGATGCAACACCAGCTGCTTTCCAAAAAGGCTCTGTGCGTCATGCATGTTGTCCAGAATTGCTGTATGAGGGTGCCTGAATCGGCAAAAAGAGCCAGCCCGGTGTCTAACTTATTCAGGCCGCATCGACGTGGATTTCGAACCAACCTGCCGTCGTGAGTGCTGGTTTGACAAAGCTGGCTGGCCTCTCGTACCAACCAGCCATTGATTTCATTTGTTTGCGGGTTGTCCATTTTTTTCCTCATTGACTCGGGTATCTACTGCTGTCAGCGCGTTGCAGATCTGGGCTCAGAACGTCAGTCCCCCAAACCCGCAAATAGTAGTTGTTGGAGAGTTGTTGACATGGGGCGAGCCATGTATGAGTGCCATGGCAACTAAACGCCAGGGTACCAGTATCAAACTGTAGACCAAATAGAAGAACCACTCAGTGCAGCAACGCTGTTTCTGTTGCGCGCATGAGCATTGTTTCACGATCGGGAATGTAGCAAGCAGCGAGGTTAGCCTATTGCACCGACAACGGCATCGCAATTACGGTTCGTCGCGTCAATCCGCAGAATCCGCTGCGAAACATCCGAATCATTATGCCAGGCCCGTTTCGAGCACCTGTGACTTGTGATTTGCTTCATTGAATATGTTAAATATGTTCTCGAATCCCATCGAAACTCTCAGCCGATGTCAGGTTTCTTCGCGACCCACGAGCAAGAGCCCTTCCATCCCTGGTTCTTGAAAAACCTGGAGAGATTCTCAACCATTCGCTTGATGGACTGGGCGCACATCAACTCGGTGGCTATGCAGCAAAGAGTCTTCCACAACGGTAGCAGAACGGTGAGCATCGAAGTCCTGAAGACTCCAAGCGAAGGAGTCTTTCATCAAGCGTGCGCCGTTCACTGCACGGTATGTTCGCTTTACATCGACAGCAACGCACGGGGGAAGCCTACCGAGGACTGCTTCGCGGACTGGAGATTATTTTCATTGTTTAGTCGCACCGTCCGAACTACGAAACGCTAGGGCGGGCTTGGGGATGATCATCGACACTACCGTGCATCATCACAAGACTTCTCCTGCAAAGACACCGTCTTTGATGTCCGGGTGCCGGCGCCACCTTTGAATTGAAGTTTTTGATGGCGATGGCATCTCAAGACATGAGCTTCAAACCTTCAGAGCCGCAAGCTGACCCGTTTTAAGGTTTTTTGAGATTTCCGCTTATTGTTCAAGCATGCTCAATTCGTGTGGTGGGTTCATGCTGGCACGGGACAAACGCACCCGCACGCCATGGCCATGGTAAAACTTCCGAAGTCTAATTAAACAGAGGGTGCAGAGGCGCGAATGCCGAAAATGTCCTGAAAGGAGAGGGGCGTGGAAAGCCCTTAAACTACACTGCCAAACGAAGAAACAAGGGGTGGAAAGGGGCGGCAAACTGCAACCCGGAAGAGGAGTGGGGCAAACCTCTGCGCTCTAAGAAGAATAGACAGAGTAGCCGACATTCAAACACCAAACCTAAACTCAGCCAACAAGCATCAGGTGGCACAAACGGAAAGAACACCTGCATGTCTCCCCGTCACATCCGCGTCTCGATAGTTCTATCCCTCGCCCATCGGGATGCAGGATCTCGGAATTGCTGTTGACAGGGCCTGATGGGGAGCTGCTGAGCCGCTCGGCAACGTTTGTTACTGAGGAACAGGCTGCCCTGCATCATCCTGCGTCCGTCATTGTCTTCCGCAGGTTGCACATCGGAATACCCTCAGCTCTGTGACGGCGATCCAAACACAGATTGGGTTTCTCAGCATTTCGCCGTGAGGCACAGAATAACGGCTCCGTCGAGTTACGAGTTTACGCATGCCGCGAGATGCTGTCAGCTTAGGCTCCACTTCCCGAAGATGGGGGCAACGATGGGGAACTAAGCGGCGTGATCGAACTTCCAGAAGGCCGGCACATCGCTAGATCTATCCCTGCATTGTCAGTATTGGCAACAGGAATTGTACACGCTTCCGTGCAGAGTTACGATGCAGCGAACACGCGCGTTGCTTCTGTTTCGCTCTGTGAACGCAAGTGCCCTGGTCGAGGTTCATCATTCAGCACATACATGTGGATGACATCAGGGTGGAGCAGACGTGTTGATCCTGTGACTGGCTCGCAGCACGACATGAAGCGTCGGCTGGCATTCGAGTCACGAAAGCTCTCCCCAGGGAGCCTTTCGTTTCAAAAGTCAGAACTTGTTCTGCCAGAAGGCTTAGGGGGTATGGAGGGGGGGACCCCCCCCAACAGGTGGCCACTCCGGG